TCCGTTGGTCAGACATTATCAGCAACAACCTATTGTGGGAGAAAACAAGCCAGATTCCAGCGGAGAAAGAAACCAGGAAGAAACGCTGGAAGTGAATAGGACATACATTGGGTAAAGCACCTAACTGCATCACAAGGCAAGCCCCCAGACGGAATCCTGCAGGCCAAAGGAAAAAAGGAAGACGAAAGAACACATTACACCGAGAAATGGAGATATACATGAGAAAAATGAACAAGAATTGAATGGAACTAGAAAAAAGGGCCAGGACATAGTGGGTTGGAGAATGCTGGTCGGCGGCCTATGCTCCATTAGGAGTAACAGGAGTAAGTAAGTAAGTAAGTAAGTAAGTAAGTAAGTAAAGTAAGTAAGTAAGTAATTAAGTAAGTAAGTAAGTAAGTAAGTAAGTAAGTAAGTAAGTAAGTAAGTAAGTAGGTATTATTAGTTTAAGTGTTTCATAAATAAACTGAAATATAATACAATACCCATTTCGTTTGAGTTGATGATACTTTATAAAAGCACTTACTTAATGCCAAACCTGATCGGTTCCAGAGAACCAGTTTTTATATCGTAGTAGAGTCCATTGGCTAATATTTTCAACTGGGGTATTCAATAAATGATTTTAATTGATATAGTTAATGCTAAAATAGTTATTATGTATCAAGCGGCTAAATGTCATTCTAAGTAATAATAAGTTATTTTGATTGCTTATTTATTTAAACACATAAATATTGGTTCAAGGAGGCACCAAATAGGTATGCGCTACACAAATCGAATGATTTGTGTGAGGGCTGGTATACTGCTCGAGTGCCCGAAGCAAAGCAGGTGGTTTCCTTAGGAGGCCACACCCGGAGCCTTTGACCTAAAGGTCTGATCCATAAGATAGTGGAGTAACGTAAGGAGATGCAGTCCCATGGTGGCCGGTGACCAACGATTGGTTTATACGACATTTGTTCCCTTATGATACTGGGGCCATGTGCACCATTGGTTTGGAATCAGAGTCTCCCAACTCTCCTAAATGGACTCTCCGTGTCTACCAACCTGGTTAAAGCGCCAGACATTCGCTTTTCGTTCTCTCAATTTCGTAAACAACAGCCCCGCCGCAAGAAGACGGTAAGCAGGACTTTTCTGGCAGTGGTTGTATGCACATGGCCATGTGAGAGCATTTCGAGAGGAAGAACCGACTCTCCCTATTCTCTACCGCACCAGGGCATTTGGAGCATTTGACTATTACCATAATTAAAAAAATACTGACCGATTAGTCTTTTGTTTGTTTACTCATTATTGATAATGACTGAAAAATAAGGAACCTGTTTCAATGATGGTTAACCTAAGAGAAGATATATTAAGATGATTGATTGCTTAACTTTAATTAGAATCCTTCTCTATTACTTTATAAGTGTAATTTTATAATAACATGAATAGTTGATCATACTTATACTTTTAAAGTAGTGTGAATTAAAATTTAATATGTTTCTTCAAAATATTACCGTGTACACTTAGTTATATAATCTAGTTTAAGGAATTTTAACATAAAAAGTTTAGATTCATTTTACTTTATTTTACTTTAATCTCTAAGGAAATTTTAGAGATTCTATGAGAGTTTGGTACAGTTTATTCACAAAACCATTTTTATACTTAGTGAAATGAAAATTTTCTCCCTTTTTGTATTCTTTTAAATATCACAGTTCAATATTGAATTCTCATGGATAGTCGATAAGTAAACGGCATCGACGTCCACCATTGTCTTCAGTGAATTCTTATTTCACAACAGACACGAATGAACTCCACTGGTTACGGCTTCTCACTAGAACCCCAGGAAATACCTCATTGATCTAGTGGTTAATCGTTCGCTCACGAAACCATTAGGTCTTAGGTTGGAATCTCGCTGGACAGGATCGTGATTTGAATTTATTACAAGCTTATATTACAAATCTTTAACATTTTATCGGATTAATTATAGACTTTACCTTAGTCATTTAGTTATTTTAATGACTAATAGTAAATTAGTTTGAAAGATTTTTCTCTGCAGACCATTTGACTGAAAAATAATGAAGAACACTGATGAAGAAAAACTTGTTAGAATATCTCTTTGATTATTGCTTCCTGATCATAATGCAAATATGAACTTTATGACTAAACTAAAATCACTTAACACAGCATTATTTAGTTTAATTCTACCTAAAGTCAACATTTTTGTCATTTTATTGAGAAAATACTAGTTCTTAAGTGCTACATTCTCTTCTTAATAAACAAGGAACGACATTAGATCTGGTTTGGAATTTTGTATGTATCATAGGTTTTCGATTATTAACAACTCTGTAGCAAAATTTTGATCGAAATATTTTATGAATTTCATCTTTCCCAATAGTGTATTCTTAATTTTTTTCTTCATTATTGCCTCTCCTTTGACATTAACCTGATCATCCCTTTATACTGGCCTGGATTATGTGGTTCTTTTCAGAATATACGCAAATTATTATTATTATTTAACTAAATGAACAGGGAATTCGACTTTATTTTATTGCTTGTACTTGAGTCGTACATGAATGTACATTTCTTGTGTTTTATGTCTATATAGTTTAAGCTTTTGTCTAGTGAAGAAATGCGATTTCTATCCTAAAATCCACTTCAGTTTTTACATTGCTCAATGGATTCATTTAAAGTTATTTACAATCTGTTACTGAAATTATTTGGATGAAGCTATGAAATAAAATACGTTTCCATGCCCTTTATTTTTCGTACTGCAGATAGTTTAAACATATATGAAATAATAAATTGGGGATATACGTTTATTCATGGAAAGTAAGATGATAAGTAGCGTCAAATGTTTAAATCATGTTATTCTAAACTTAAAGTTTATCTCGAATGATAGAAAACAGGTTAAAACTTGATTTAAAAGTTAATAAGAAAAAATTTGAAGTTAACCATCTAGAAAATCCTTAGATTTTTGTGTCTATTGATATGTACGTGTAGTTTTGCAAAAAACAATACATACCAATCATCAGTCCATGGTCAATCGTAGCCATATTATTCACTAGCAAAATTAACATAAATTATCGTCACAATTGATTGATCACTGGGTGGTGATCAATGTCATGTGTGTCAAGTCCTTCTTAGTGCAGATCAAATGCTATCGACCAATTTGCAATTTGGCCACTAGTTTAGGTGATTCAACATTGCGTGCACTATGTTGAGATAAGATGGTGGTTAGAGGTAATCAACAGAAAACTAGTGGTAACGTCTCTGACTGTCAAGCTGAATGACACAGGATAGAATCCGTCAGGGAACACCAATCCCCTCGAGATTACACGTACACCTTGCCAAGTAGCCAGAAACCTGGGTCCAGGGTTTCCTGTTGAATACCTCTAACCACCATCTTATTACAAATTATCGTTAACTTATTCATCTAATATTTACCTGTGCGAAAGATGAGATAGTATAGTTATGTTAGTCCTAATATTTAAGAAATCTCAAACAGTTCGTCAGTTTCATGGAATGTATCAAAGTATATACTTAGAGAACATTGTTTGTCCAGTAAAGTTGATAAAACTTTAAAGAAGCCAAACGCCAGACGTCATTGGTGATAGAAAGTAACTTAACTGAGAAATTTGTTACTACTACTACTATTGTAGTTATCTTTTCTGATACTGGTTTATTTAATTTATTAAATATTTTTCGCATTATATTTTATAAAATAAAAAAGGGGACAAGAGTTTATATCATTTACCACTTTTTTTAATCAGTACGAGTTTGTGGAGATTGTGGAGTTTTAATTGAGTTTATGAACCGACCAATGTTAGACCAATATTGGAAACCTGGAAACGCTGGACTCCCGTTTCGTCCTAGTACTGGACTCCTCAGAAGTGCGCACCTACGATACCACACGCAGGACCCAGACGAAGAACCCATGGTCTCGCGCGCGAACGCTTAAACGGCCGGCATCCAACGGTGTTATTGTCTAACCTCAACCAATCCAAGATATTTCGCGACCATCTTCCGTTGTCTGAGATAGATACTTGTCTCTATCTGTTATGGATTAGCTCCATTGGTCACGGCTTCTCGCTAGAACTCCGAGAATTACCCCACAAGCCTAGTCACAAGTGAGTACATGGTGTTATAACTTAAAGTCATTCACGTTTATATAAAAAAGATAATATTTTACTTATACTCCAATTGTTTTATATGGTTTATTCATTTATGTTCCTTTATTAGGTAGTTTGTTTTCTTCAAGTTACTACATAAAATTACACTAGAAAAAGTGAATTTACTATCAAGTAAGAAATAAGATTTATGTATTTTTTTTAGTAAATGCATAAAGAATATAGTTCGTTTCATTAACTCATTCAATGACTTAATGGTATAATTAAAATTCCCTTAACAATAATCAACCTCAAAAAGAAAATAACTAGAAAAATAATTTATAAACAAATGTTCTTCGAATCTGTTTATGGTACTTCTTGAAAATTTACTATATATTATAATATACTACTATTTTACATACATACTAGTTTATATGTGGACTAATCTGCAATGGTCAAGTTGAAAAAAGAACAATATTTATTTCGTTGCTTTATGGAAAAAAAAAACTGGATATGGTTACTTCTTTTCATATCTCTTTGTATAAGGTCATAAACAAGAAACATATACACTATCATCATTAGTAGGACGAAGAATGACGATCAATATTAATAATTATAATAATGGAAGAAAACACATGTTCACAAATGTAGCGGCAAAATTTCTTATATTACTTTGATCTTCAAGTATTAAATAACTATGCCGCTTTCATTTAGATGACTTGTCGCCCTGATAGTTAATGTTACAGAATAATATGTATGTTTGTCTACATATTTTTATGCTTACCATAGTGCATATATATCTAGATAACTATGTGTTTATGAATAATAATACTTCTATTGTATTACTATGAGTGCACAAGTTATGTAGTATTGTCTCACTTTATTTTAACAGTAAACATTCAAAAAAAATGTGAGAAAAAGAGTACATGGATTTTCATTGATACCTACTCGTCACTTCTTCTTCTCTGCTACATCATCATCATCATCATCATCATCATCATCATCATCATCATCATCATCATCATCATCATCATCATCATCATCATCATCATCATCATCATCATCATCATCATCATCATCATCATCATCATCATCATCATCATCATCATCATCATCATCATCATCATCATCATCATCATCATCATCATCATCATCATCATCATCATCATCATCATCATCATCATCATCATCATCATCATCATCATCATCATCATCATCATCATCATCATCATCATCATCATCATCATCATCATCATCATCATCATCATCATCATCATCATCATCATCATCATCATCATCATCATCATCATCATCATCATCATCATCATCATCATCATCATCATCATCATCATCATCATCATCATCATCATCATCATCATCATCATCATCATCATCATCATCATCATCATCATCATCATCATCATCATCATCATCATCATCATCATCATCATCATCATCATCATCATCATCATCATCATCATCATCATCATCATCATCATCATCATCATCATCATCATCATCATCATCATCATCATCATCATCATCATCATCATCATCATCATCATCATCATCATCATCATCATCATCATCATCATCATCATCATCATCATCATCATCATCATCATCATCATCATCATCATCATCATCATCATCATCATCATCATCATCATCATCATCATCATCATCATCATCATCATCATCATCATCATCATCATCATCATCATCATCATCATCATCATCATCATCATCATCATCATCATCATCATCATCATCATCATCATCATCATCATCATCATCATCATCATCATCAAATGTATCATAAAACTAAATAGACCTTTATTTCTGGCAGCGTGAACTGATTGATTTTATGTGTGACATTTTCCGTAGTTTATTTTTGAGTAACATTTTTTTTCGATTGATTTTTTCTCGTTTATATTTTCTTATTTCCGTTTTCTTCACAATAAGATTACGGCATCAATTTAGTACATTTCCAGTATTTTCATTCATAAACTTTATAAAATATGGTAACTACTAACTAATTTCATGATTATTCATCTTCTGGTAAAGTACAAATTAGTAAAGATCTATTGACTTTGACGTGTATATCAGTTATTGAAAACTTTGACTCTCTGTATTTAGAAGGAAATATCATTTAATTTCTAAGTGAATAGCCACTACAAAACAGAGTCAACAACTAAGAACTCATAATATCCATTAGTACTCAAGTGTAAAATGAATATGAAATGTTAAATGTAACTAATAATCTACTGAAAGCAACCAAAAACCTTATAATATTTATTAACCAATCACTTTAAAGGTATATATTATGTCTCTCTAAAACTATATCACAACAAAGTATAAATAATATCATATAACTTCATTGTTATACAAAATGTTCACTGGTTCTGAAGCAAAGTTTGTTAATAAAAGTTCCATTTTTTTTCGATCCAAATATAACTCCACAGAGAAAAAACTTACCAGCGATGAACTTAATAATGGGTAGTTTAATGGCGTACAAACTATACAAATATACACAGTCACCAAAATTGTTGATTCATAAGAAAAAGTATATAGGAACAATATGAATGCATAAAATCGTATAAAAAGCTTTTCACTATCTAATAAAGGGATATAGAGGCACTAATCTGGATTTATATGAATGAATTTCTGTGCCAAATATGAACATTAGGGACAAGTTTTGAGAGGTGATTTTAATGAGAAGCTGTAACAAGCGGATTTCATTCATCTTAGGTGTGCTGTCGTTACCCACCAACAACATTGGAAGATAGTTGCACACTATTGCAAACTGATTAAAGTTAGAAACATAAATAATTGGGTTGAGACCCAGTGGCTTGAAGTTTTATTGCTTAACATGGGCTTTGAAGGTTGTGGGCTTGCTGTCCAGTGATATCATGGATGTATACTGCTAATTAGTTTTATACGAGAACAAAACAGGTGTCCAGTGCTTCTTTTTTTTCCAGTAGGTGTTTTGCTATGGTCAGATGGGGATATAAACTGAAAATCGTTAGGTAACTATCTTTGTTAGACTATGTGACTTCCAGTTGTCACTGTTTTATTGAAGTAAATGTTTTGTAACTTAATTAAAATCTTACACTATCAACTCCTAGTTTCGATTGTCAGATTATCTTAATCTGATGCTTACTTTATCACAATTTATTGTCGATTGTTTTCATTACTAAATGTAAGTATATTCTATTTGATTACCGAATTGTCGGCTCACTTTTTCCCTTCTGTTCTTTTCCAGCTTTCTTGATAAGTTGCCCTACATACGCTTCCAGGCCGTCAGGCTATACATCAATTTCCCCATTTTTCAGTGATCTCTTTGTTCAAAATAAAATAATACAAGTCACATAGACATTATTATTGATCTGTTGTTCGAATGTTTTTAAATATGCTAGAATGAAGATTAGGAAAGAAAGAAATAAGTAACACATTTTTCAATGACTTATAATGATCATCATAATTAAAGGATATTTACTTCAAGTTTGATTACAAATTTTGATTTATTGAGTCTCAGTTGTCAACTTTATTGTGACAAATTAATAGTTAGAATAAGTTTTCTGTAAAGAAAAATGAATTACAAGTTATATTTTGGCCAAGTTTGCTAGTTTCATAGTTGCTTGCAATCGTGTGATTCATGGGATTATTATACGAATGAATACATTGCACGTGCATATATATATATATATATATATATATATATATATATATATATATATATATATATATATATAGTCATATCAGCCACAGAACTTTCCGATAATACCTGAATGTTGGTAAATGAATGAGTAGGTTTACATAAGTCATGACTTTCGTATAAAATAGTTTTTATGTCTGTTTTGTGGGCAACATATGTGAAATATGAAATAAATAAATAATAAAATTTATTCCATTGAATGTAACATAATTTATGTTGAAAAATGATTTTTCTGGCTCCATTTATGATTGTAAACACTGAAACTATCATTCTATAGATAAACAAATCAGTAACTTTTGTGTTTGATTAAAAGTGACGTTTAACAAAAATTTTCAATTTTTATCAACCAATTACAATAGTTGATAGATTTTAATACTAGTTGATTTCAAAAGTTCGGTAAATGATGAATCGATTTATTATGGTAAATATAATTACGAAATGAATGTAGCAGATCAAATGCATTTTTTTTTAACGATGAAGGAACTGATCTTCTTTGAGTCGGTTTTATCGGATCATAAAATTGAAATTTATATTTGTGAATATTACAAAAATAATTTCAACTAAATTATTTTAACGTTTCGTCAGGCAATTGGATTTAGACTTCTTCAAGAAAACAATATAACTTATCAATGATATATAAGGTGAAGAACAAATCAGTACAAAAATATCTACTGATAATAAATATTCATTTTATAGTCGGATTTATGGGTCGATCTAAGCTAGATCACCATTGAAAACTTGGAAGCACTGGATGTGCACTACTGAAGAGTCTCATACTAGGACAAAAGTACCGTCCAGTGCTTCCAGGTTTTCAATGATACGCTAGCTTAGATCGACCCATGAATTTAACTATTAAAATAACTACCATCTTCACAAACCTCCATTTTGATAATAAATGTTCATTTTGTTTACAGATAGGGTTGAAAGTTGAAGTTATTTAATTTCAGTGTCCAAGTTTTTGATGTTTTCCAAATACTAATGGGGCAACATTAGATTATATATAAAAAATTCAAATCAGGTTAAACTGTTAACAGAATGTTTTGAAAAGTAGTTGAAATAATTTGAATAGTTAAGAGACAACTTAAACGGCATCAAAGAAAGTGTCAATTTCTTTTTCTTAAATTTTAAAATAGCCAAAGTTTAAAACAGTTTTGGTTCAGTATTATGATCCATTCATTTTAATAAGGTATATTCTATAACATAATCAAACACCTTAATTATCGAATACATGGTATTTTTTTTCATAAAAGCTCTATCAGTTAAACATGAACTCACTGTAATTACATTAAGTTTGTTTTGTGAATTTACACTTAATTGTTATATGTAGGCTTATTGAAAATCTTCTTGTAACAAGAAATATGGGTAAGACTGTAGTTTATGAACGACATTTGAGTGGTGCCAAACTGATCTTGAGAGTGTTCACCCAATAACTACGACCAAATGAAGGTTATAAACTTGTGTGAGGAATTAGAATTATGATTTAGAGTTGATGGTTAGAGTTAGGAATTAGATTTAGGGTTTTCATCACAACTGACATCGATTATAATATCAAGACTCTATTTAGCCAAATGGGTGAATGAATTTCGCACCAAAATCTAAGACCTGTTATCATAAATTTGATTGGTTAGTTCATAAATTATAGTCTCGCCGAAATATGTTTTAATCATTAAACGTTTTCACTTGTTTTGGTAAAAATCAACAAAATTATGTTAAGATTCCTATACATTATGTAAAATTTTGAATCGGTAATTTTGAATTTCGAAGTTGCAATATGGTCACTAGTTTAAGTGACTTGACATTTCTTGCCTCATGTTGAGATACTAGACGAAAAACCCTAGACCTAGGTTCTATGCTAGTTGGTACTCGTCAACAAGGTGTAGCTATGACATTTTCGGGATTGATACTTTCTGTAGGATTCTAACCTGTTTTATCCAGCTTCACGATATGAGACATAAAAGCAAATATTACTTCTTATACAGGATGGCTAGCAGCAATTGGAAGCAAGTTAAATTTTAGCAACAATGCATTTAAAATATTGAAACAATATTTATTCTATCTAGAACTGAAATATACATTATTTAGCATCCGTTTAAAAAGCTTTATAACCATTGACCATGTATGGCATTTTTACATTGTTGAATAATATCCATCAAACAGCTTATATATATTCCTTCATAGAAATATTTAATCATTTTTCTATAATAGTGGTCTATAGTGATTATTTGGTTACCAGAAATACTATTCTATTTGATGGATAAGAATTAAATCTTTCAAGTTTTCTCAAATAGAGTCTGTAATTTGATTAATTTCAGATTAATAATTCGACATTACCATTCATTTATCAACAGAGATTTGTAAAGAAATGTGGTCCATATGAATTCCATTTATTCTCTCTGTTTATTAAAATTTACATTACGAGATTTGACAGGTTGATATGTATGGTAAAGAATCTTAAGATCGATTCAGAAAGAACAAATTTACACTTACTATTCAATTGCAAACATTTTTAACTATGGAATTCAATTTAGGATTAATTACTAGTGGATACTATTATAATATAGTCATTATTGTTACGTTGTATTATGCACAAAAATGTTTTATTATTATGAACTTAGTGAATTACAAATACTCCACTGGAAGTTCTTTTTAATTTAGATTACGTATTTTCATAAATAATAAATTGAATGATACTTTCTTTCAAAATGAAATAATAATGATTACAATGGTTGAGATCATGAGTCAATTGAATCTTAACCATCATGGTAAACGTGGAAGCACTGGACGGTTAAGTGCTCGCGCGCGAGACTGATAGATCCTAGATTCGATTCTTGCGAGGCGGGGTCGTGAATGCGCACTGTTGAGGAGTCACACAATAGGACGTAACGGCCGTCCAGTGTTTCCAGATTTTCCATAATGGTCTAGCTTCAATTGACTCATGATGTCAACTATTGAAATTACTACAATCTCCACAATAAAACTTCTGATATGAATAAACATATGCTTATTGGTGACTGGCTTCAAGCAGAATTTCCTGTAGTTCTAGTGAGAATCAGTGAACAGTTGAGTTCAACAGAGTCTGTTGTGATATAGTAACTCGCTGAAGA